GTACTACGACGAAATGGCTGCAATATGACGAATATCGTGCCGCGATTCAATATATGAATGCACTATTGCACTATGCCGTACTGTCGAAATCGCCTGCACTATTTCTGAAATGTGTGCACTGCCGCCCAAATTGGGCGTCTTCATTAAACTCATCAAAATTTAACCCTATTAGTGGCAGGCTCCTGGTTACCCCTATTAGTGGCAGGGGGGCTGTTTACGACCCCCCCCCCCCTGATATCTCGAGATCATAACGGGCCGATTTTCAAAATTCAAACGGCATTCGATTTCGCTCAACGTGATCTACATTTCTAAAAAATAAAAAATAAAAAATGTCAATAGGGGGGGGGGGGTGGAGGGGAGTAAAAACGGGCAAATTGCAGACACATTTTAGACTGTTTATCACGGCCAGGTTTCTGAACCAATCTTAACGCAACTTTTGCCGATCGATAGAGAATGAACCAGGAATTCACATGGATCCTAAAAATATGCATTTTCAAAAATCATAGGCGGATACAGATCTTTGAGATTGGGGGTACACAAAAAGTACAGTAAATAAGGTTTTTGTTGGTAGTGTTTCTAAAAAGGGTGGTAATGGTCTTGTTATGTTACAATTTTCTTATGAAACAACGACTAAATTGTATTGGTCATGCATAGGCAGTGTCAGGGCACCTATGTTGGGAGGTAAAACATAACCCCCCCCCCCTTTTGGACGCCTGGATCCGCCTACTATAGCAAAAACGTGTCAAAAGAGGATGCACAATAGCTTTGTATATGTTATCACATGATACCTTTCATTCGCTGTTCGTAAAACTGGTGCATACAGTTATAATGCATCAGCATCGTGATCTTCGTCCAAATGACTCGACGAATAGGACCCCCCAATTCCCAGTGCTCTGGAGCCGCCCCTGGTTAAGTTATGAACTTGAAATTTTCCGGGAATGTGCCCAATTTAGTTTTAGGAAAAGTCAGAAAATTTCAGCATCGTAGCTTCAGCGGTTTCGGAGATATTCCCGAAAAAAACCTGAGGGGTGGATAAAAACAACCCCCCCTGCCACTAATAGGGTTAACGAAGTTCAAAGGCGCCGAATTCACTTGCAGATTAACTAAATTGCTTTGCGGTACGCCGAATACCAATGCATACGACGAAGCGATGCACTCTGGCGAAACTGAAATCAAAACTACTGAAAATGAATGCATTACCTTTTAAATTGCTTGCTCTGTTTCGGAGCCGTGTGCACTATTACTGAATTTCATGCACTCGGCCGAAGTAGCGGCCGAGTGCATGGTTGCACTATTTCTGGGCTGTGTGCACTTTTTCTATATTTGGCCGTAAAAAGGTGTACATAGATTGGTAGGGCTCATGGAGCAATGGTAGGGCCCACATCAAGATTAGTAGGGCTTGTGCGCTACCAATGCAAAGGTGCATCAGGATAGCAAAAATGACTAAATCATTATGGCTGATTTTAATCAGTGCCTAATCTTGTTTGCCTCAAGCAAGCAAGATTCCTCTCTTGCGTGACTTTGACCTTGGGGCAGCCTTGTATCGTAACGTCACGCACCACAAATAGGGCCAGATAAGCCTCAAATGAAAAAACACATTTTGGAATTTAGTGTGCAAGATATACGAAAAAGTGCAAAGTTGAGGTCGGTTTTGCCCGATCGGACGGTAAATAAATTTGTATGCGGTAACCCGTCGAAAAATAACGATTTTTCGCAAAAATGACCTTGACCTTTGACCTCGATCGGCAATTTTGTTGACTATGACGCGTCCTTGTGTGATGGCTCTTGGTTTGGTGCCATTTTGAGCCCAATCAGACGGTAAAGAAAGAAGTATCGTATTATTGTTTATAGCCACAAATATTTTCACCCTTATAGGTGCAAATATTTGGCAAAAAATACGCTATCTTGGGAACCAGCGAGTCAAGTACTATCGGTTCGCATAGATTTGTGAAGTTTTGAGCTCAACGCTGAATACGAATACGAATACGAATACGAGGAGATGAGGACTACGAATACGATGGACATGCTCTATGATAGCTCGCCGAGCGGCCGCAGTGGGCCGCGCATCAGTGGCGCCCAGCGGGCACTCACAGGCGGGCGTGGGCTGCGACCAGATGCCGGTGGGCGTGCACCGGCTGCTGGCGTTGCCCTGCATCACGTGGTTGGCGTTGCAGAAGTACTCGACCGTGTCGTTGACGGCAGTACCGCCTGAGCGCACCGCGTACCCGTGCAGCGGCGTGCCGGGCTCCGGGCAGGAGACGGCTGCCGACCGGCCGGACGGTCAGACACTGGGCGGACAGACGGGCACTGGGCGGACAGACGGACAGACGGACAGACACTGGGCGGACAGACGGACAGACGGACAGACGCTGGGCGGACAGACGGACAGACACTGGGCGGACAGACGGACACTGGACGGATAGACGGACAGACACTGGGCGGACAGACGGACAGACACTGGGCGGACAGACAGACACTGGGCGGACAGACGGACAGACACTGGGCGGACAGACAGACGGACACTGGGCGGACAGACGGACACTGGGCGGACAGACGGACACTGGGCGGACAGACGGACACTGGGCGGACAGACGGACACTGGGCGGACAGACGGACAGACACTGGGCGGACAGACGGACAGACACTGGGCGGACAGACAGACACTGGGCGGACAGACGGACAGACACTGGGCGGACAGACAGACGGACACTGGGCGGACAGACGGACACTGGGCGGACAAACGGACAGACACTGGGCGGGCAGACGGTCAGACACTGGGCGGACAGACGGACAGACAGACGGACACTGGGCGGACAGACGGACAGACGCTGGGCGGACAGACGGACAGACACTGGACGGACAGACACTGGGCGGACAGACAGACAGACGCTGGGCGGACAGACGGACAGACACTGGACGGACAGACACTGGGCGGACAGACGGACAGACACTGGACGGACAGACGCTGGGCGGACAGACGGTCAGACACTGGACGGACAGACAGTCAGACACTGGGCGGACAGACGGACACTGGGCGGACAGACAGTCAGACACTGGGCGGACAGACGGACAGACACTGGGCAGACAGACGGACAGACGGACAGACACTGGGCGGACAGACGGACAGACGGACAGACGCTGGGCGGACAGACGGACAGACACTGGGCGGACAGACAGACAGACGGACACTGGGCGGACAGACGGTCAAACACTGGGCGGACAGACGGACACTGGGCGGACAGACGGACAGACTGACACGGGGACTGGCTGAGTGTTCCCTCCACTTCCCAGTATCCCACCCCCTCCCCCATTCCCCAGTGTCCCCTCCACTTCCAAGTGTCCTCCCCAGTGTGCCATCCCCTCGGCAGTGTGTGCTGTTCCCCACCTCGGCAGGTGGGCGGCGGTCGGCTCCAGTGTCCGCTCTGGCGGCATTTGATGACGCGCGGTCCGGCCAGCCGATAGCCGGCCGGACACCGGAACACGGCCCGGCTGCCGCTGGTCAGATTCACAGAGGTGAGCAGCACGCGCCGGTCGGCGAGCACCAGCAGCGGACACTGCACCGTGTGACACTGCGGCAGGGGGCCCGACCACCGACCTGCAGCCGGCGCCGGGCAGCGTCACACCTTAACGCACACACACACACACACATACACACACTGACTGACTGACTGACTGACTGACTGACTGACTGACTGACTGACTGACTGACTGACTGACTGACTGACTGACTGACTGAGCGAGTCGGGCGGCGGTGACGGCTACTGACCGTTGGCCAGGCAGGTTACCGAGGCGGCGCCCGACAGCTGGTGGCCCGCCGGACAGGTGAACGTCACGGTCTGTCCCAGACGAGCAGACGAGGTGGAGGCCAGCCGCAGCGAGCCGGTCTCCGTCACCGGAGGACACTCCACCGCTACCGACACACGGTCAGCAGGTCACAGAGCGCAGCCGCCGCACCTCACCGGCGCGCGCGGCTGGTGCCAGTGTCACCGCGCAGCTGGGACTCAAGCATCAGACTGCAACGCCGGGCGCCGCTGAAAATCATAAATTTGTTTCGAGCAGCGTCGCTTTATGGGTTCGCGCTGAGAAAAGAAAGGTGTCACACTCACAGTTTATCCTTAGGTACAGGGACTGGGGACAAGGAAAATCAGCGGAGGCGTTTGATCTGAGGAAAATGGTTCTGATATGACACACCCTACTCCCGGCCTCCCAGCACGGCGCGGGTTAAGAAATACATGTATGAAAGAAATACATGGATGTATTTTTTAGTTTAGCACGTTAACCCTCGCCCATGTAGGGCGAGGGTTAACCCCCCCCCCTGGGCCCTGGCTGGTGCAACCCCCCTGAGGTTTTTCTTAGCTACACGCCGAACCGTTTCAGATAGCCTGCTCAAATTTTCAGTACCCTTTGGGACATCCTTTGCGCAACTTTTGGTAAAAAAAAATTGTCAAGGTCATGTCAGGTCACGGAGTTATGACGTCATAAAGGGAACAACCTCCGGCCAGATTTACGCTAAATTGGAGATTGCTTCACATTGGTATAAATGCCGTCTGACCTGACACACTGATGGATTGTTTTAGAATCACAACTGGCCGATTTGACATTGGCACAATGTCCGTTGACATTTTGAAGGTTACTAAAGGTCAAGGTAAGGTCAGTGACCTCGGTTCACCTGTAATGAGGTCTTGCACTTGTATGCCTTTTCGGGGTATTTTGATGCCCTGAATTCGAATTTGCATTCCATTTCAGGCATCGTCGGTTGTTTCTTGTAGTTCATTTTGGGTCAGGGTCAGGTCAGTGACGTCACACGCCTGACGTGACCCAATGCACAAATGACCTTGCAGACTTCCGATGCTCCCAACGCATCATTTTTAGAGTTATGACATCGAAATATACGCCAAACGATAGAGAATTGATCAAGGATCACGATAGTGAAGGTTTCAAGTCGACATCTCTTACCGTTTTGCCGATCGGCGCGGAAATTTGAAAAAGTTAGATTTTTCCGAAAATTTGACCTTTGACCGGTCATAAGTAGGTCAAATGTTGACCTAGGACCAAAAAATATACCACCAATCGCGAGATCTCGTTGAGAGCAATCCGTTGGTCTTTTCCGCTAAGCTCTACGACGCTCTATTTTCAAACGCCAGGGGGGGGCGCACCAACCCCCCCTGCATGGGCGAAGGTGGCAAAACACCGTTTACGGGCGAGGGTTAAGGAGAGGTTCATCGGCCTTTCCTTCGCATTCAACTCAAAACTGGACGCACTGTCGTCACTGCACTCTCAAGAGCCCTAAATTTGAATATATAACCTACACCTACTTATTTCTGAACTGTCCCTGGTCGGTTATCTGGAATCCCTCCAATTCCAGATTACAGGATTGCATTTCAGGGGTGTCTTGGTTTCAACGCGGCCACCCGCAACTCGCTTCGATGCTCAGTTTCGGAAATAATTTTTGTGAGGAGTGAGTGCTGAACCACCACCCCCTTCGTCAATGATGTTCGGCTGGAAGGTCAGTCAGGCGCATTCGAAAAGATCACTGGCAACCATCAGCACCTACACTAAGCATGTCGAATGCACCAAAAAGCCAAAGTATTAAGTAGGTACCAGCAAAGCAGCACCTCGTAGTTATCACTTTGAACCTCCCGCCTCTGACGTCCCTGTGCCCCTGTGTACAGTTGTGTGATGTCCGGTCACCTGCCCTCCCTGTGTGCCAGCTGACCTCCCTGTGTGCGGTGTCCGGTCACCCACCTCTGACCTCCAGGCGGACGGTGTTGTAGGCGCCGTCCGGCGAGCGGCACGTCAGGTTACCGGTGTCCGCCGCACTGGCGTAGTACACCGACAGCCGGTACTTCCAGTCGCGCTCGTCGGCCGCGATCGCCCAGCCTGCGCGCACACGCGCCACCACCTCAGCCGACTGCCGACTCTGTCTCTGTCTCTGTCTCTGTCTCTGTCTCTGTCTCTGTCTCTGTCTCTGTCTCTGTCTCTGTCTCTGTCTCTGTCTCTGTCTCTGTCTCTGTCTCTGTCTCTGTCTCTGTCTCTGTCTCTGTCTCTGTCTCTGTCTCTGTCTCTGTCTCTGTCTCTCTCTCTCTCTCTCTCTCTCTCTCTCTCTCTCTCTCTCTCTCTCTCTCTCTCTCTCTCTCTCTCTCTCTCTCTCTCTCTCTCTCTCACTTTCTCACTCTCTCTCGGGTAATACGCTCTAAAAGCAAACTTCCTCGTCCGGTGCTGGGACCAATCTTATAAACGCCTTGGAATGGGCATTGGCTAAAGGAAACGGCTATTACGTGCAAAATTGTTTTCACGCATTTAAGTCCAGCGTATATTGACGGGATCCCAGCGCCCGATTTCATAAAGTTCGGTAGGACTAGGTAGTGTCTTCGTTTGCAGCAGCGCGAATTCTACGTCCAAAGAAATTACACCCTCCATAGAAGTGGGCGACTATTGGAATGGGAGAGCATATTTTGAATCAATTGTGTGCTTGATGCTTCCGTTTGTTTTGGACTATATTTTACACATCTACTGCAGAGTGCTGGTTATCACTATAAATATCATCTAAAGCCGTGAAGAGAATAGCACTCCCTTTATAAGATTGGGCCAGTGTAGTCGCGCCCCGCGAGCTCGGCTTCACCGCTCGGCCGCTACGGGCCGAGGAAATCGGTCCTCGCCTGAGGGCAGGACGGAGGTCAGGGAGGGAGCGCGGGGTCAGCCAGGTATCGCCTGCGCCTGGTGCCGAGCGGTTGCCCCTCATTCCCCTCCCTTCCCCTCTCCGACCCTCCCTACCTCGGTGGCGGATTCCGCCAAGTTATCGACTCGCCTACGGTGGGAGAGCCAAACCAGGGGACATACTTTTTAGACACACCGTACACAATACACATTGCACAGGCCTCCGAGATCACATACTAGCCATTGCGAGCTCTACGCAGACCCCGGAGGTCCCACGCTAATCTTTAACCCTCGCCAGGCGAGGGCCTTTTCCGTAACATGGACGGCGAGGGGGGGGGGGGGGTTGGTACGACCCCCCTCGCGATTGGCTCCTATGGCACTTAGAAACGCCAAATTTACAGGGTAGGTGGGTCCATAGAAGATCTCGCCCCTGTGAAAGTTTGGTGACTAAGTCAATATTTAGGGGGGTTTGGGGTATGAGTGCAAAAATTTTGCTAAAACATGTCAAAGGTTTTTCGCTTATAACTTTTTACCTAGTAACGATAGAGCAAAAATAAAAGCACCAGTGAACTCAGGACGTCCGTGCGCATCGAATGATATACTTTGTTACCAATTTAACCCGCGCCCCGTAGGGCTACCGGCGGACCCTACCACCCGTAGGGGGGGGGGGGGCGTTTCGGCCCCCCTAAGATCTCGGAAAGTTACCGGCCGATTTTCAAAATTCAAACGGCGTTCGATAGCCCCACCCGGGAACTACCTTGTGACCAAATTTCATTGACCTAGGTCAAACCGATGACGTCACAGGTCAGGTCAAAGGTCAGATTTTCACCGTTCACAGGCATTTCAAGGAATGTGTTGTCAAATCGAGTAAATTGGTAATTTATTGAAAACCATCGATAATACATTGTTCGTCAAACACATACTTTGCTATCTGAGGTCACTGATACCAGGTCAGGTCACAGCGAGGTCAGGTCACCGGGGGTCACATTATGAAAGTTTCGTGTGATGCATGTTTTATGGTCCATTTTACATGACAAATGCGATCATGTGGGTCAGGCAGCCTTTGGGGCCAGCCTAGGTCACGCTTTGGTGAAGGTCAGGTCAAGGTCAGGTCAAATTAGGTCAAATTTCAAAGTTGATATTTTTGCATAAAATGGGTATCGATTCGATGCAGCTCGTCACGGGGAGTCTAATGGTGGTCTTTGTTTGTTTTTTTTTCTACGAGGTCTAGAATTGCCAAAAATTGCGTTTGAAAATTTGACGTCATCATTTTTGAACAGTTTATTTCGCTATAACTTGGCCAAAAAACGAGGTATCGATCTGAAATTTGGTATGTAGATAGAAGACGGTAGGTACTATCACATATATTCCGGTTTTTTTCGAAACTCAAAAAACTTTTTGGATTTTTAGGCTAATATATAAAAAATGCTTTTTTGATTTTTGGGTCAAAACTCGAAAATTTCAAAAATCCGAGATAGCAGTTGTCAATTCTACACCTTTTATGTCTTGATCATTTTTCTGTATCTTCAAAGCTGTAGGTCTGACAGGTCTTCTCGCGAAGGTCTTTTTTCGGTCGAAAATGACAGAACATGACGTCATTCTGACGTCATTTGTGGCCAAACTATCATAGCCTCTGGAAAAATTTTTGGTCACAATGTGTAAAATTGATGCGCCCGGAGGGGTCCTGAAAGTTTGGTGGCGATATCTTTAGCCGTTTAGGAGATATCGACCGAAAAGGACAGGGGGAGGCCGTTTCGGCCCCCCCTACGGGAGGCGGGTTGTGAACTCTGGAATCAAGTTGCCGCTAAGCTAGTCCAATTTTACCCTGACCTTGTACCGGTTTTTGTGACCTGGTGACCTGACCTGAAAAGACTGGGACTTCAAATTTTCAGGAAAGGTGCGAAAATGTTGCCCCAGAGGGTATGCCAAATTTGGCGGCGCGGAACCAAGCCGGCATACGGGGTCACCACTAGGCTTCTGAGCTGCACAGCACCAACCCATGAGGTCGTACCTTAGTGTCGTAGAGCCACGCTCATTTGGCAGGCCCCACTGACCACTGCCGAAGAGGGTCTCATGCCAGCCAATGCTGGGCCTACGAGAGCTTCAAGAAAACCCACGCTGATATTCCATATAAGTAAGAGTACAGGGTGTCCACGTCAAAAGTGTACCCAGACTTTTCTCCGTATTTTATCTTAAAAACATCACACTCACAAACAACTGCCCTCGTTTGAGAGTCTAGGCAATGGCAAAACATTTGCTATGCTTTTTAACTGTGCTCGGCACTCTGCTGACCAGCGCGTGCCGTCTAGAGCAACTGCTCTATATGAGCCCCTTTGCTTCGGGCCACCGCCGGCAGACAGACCGTGGCATGTGAAATCCCACAATGGGGATCCCACTGGGGATCCCACCGCCTAGAAAAAGTTCAGACCATGCCTCTGCACAGCAAGAAAGTAATGGTTTAGGTGGCAATGAGGCATGGAGCAGTGGCGGCGGAAGCAGGGGGGCAAGGGGGGCAGCTGCACCCTAAAGCTATGGAAAGGGGCGCCTCGAAAATCTGTAGAGGAGGCAGGAAGTTAAGAGGTGCGGCAGCCATAAAGCTGAGCAGTGCGACACCGCAACTGATAAAGGCACTTGTGACACGAAGAGGGTGGCAATGACGTGGGAAAAGTATCTTTTGATATGCTGAAGAGTGGAGAGCATCCTTATCTGAAACAAAGGCAGATGCTGCCGACCCTGTCGAATATAATCTTGCCAGGCGATAAAGGCTAGGAGGGCGCAGCTACTCGAGAAGCGCGCCATGCGGAAGAGGGGCGCGTGCATGCGAAAGAGGGGCGCCTGTGTGTAGGACGAAAAAGAAACATTTATGGAGAAGTCTTTGAAGGCGATAGCCTCCGAACGCCAACACGAACATATGAGGGCTTATAGCGTTGCAGGCTCCATGCGACAAAAAGGGGCGCCTGATGGCCGATATGCGAGAGGAAATTAGGTAGTTTGTGTAACATTTATCGGGGGCGGTTTGCCGTTTACAACATATGAATGTTAAGGGAGGTCCGAGATTGGGGCCTGTAAAATTGCACTGTCCGTATGGGCGATTCATTGACCTCTATACTTACCTATTATAGAGGCTATTATAGAGGTCAATGGGGCGGTTACACCCCTAGTGCTAGGGCGTATTTTGCGTTTTTTTTTACTGGGGAGATTATTATGACCAGGAATAGCACTCTGCAAACTTCTATGGGCTTGGGCGCCTGTATAGGGGCGAAACTGATTTTCCAGTGCAGGGACGGCCATCGGCATTGTGGGGCGGCATTCATTCCACTGGGGCGTCTGCCAGTGTTGAAGGGCGGTATTCATTTCAATGGGGCGCCCGTTGGTGTTGATGGGCGACATGTATCACCTGGGGCGCCTATCGGAGATTGGGGCGGCATTAATTTCACTGAGGTGCCTATCGGCGTTGACGGGTGGTATTTATTCATCCGGGGCGCTTATCGGTGGTATAGGCCGGCATTCGCTTCACTGAGGTGCCTATCGGTGTTTTAAAGGGACCCTCCCACCTTCAAAAACGTTAATGAATTGGCATGGAAGTGATGTCGCTCGGTTCAGAAAGAGCAAAAATGAATATCTACCAAATTTCATCGAAAAATATTCACCGGTTTTCAAGATATTAGACTTTTACTTTTGTGACTTTTGTTTACTTTTTGGGATCTCCGCTGTTCCTAGCGACTTTATTTGAAAGTGCGGCATTTGTTGCGCGCAAAGCAGCATATACCACCGCGTGCTGCCAAACGTTTTAGTAAAAGATTTAAAAATCGTTAGATCTCCGCTGACGTCACAAATTCTAAGGGGGCATACCAATGCATTAGCCCCTTAGAATCTGAAAACTGCAAGTTTGAAATTCCATATCTCCGAATCAAAGCATTTTTCGATGTTGTGATTGCCCAAACCGGTATTTTCAGGCCATGGCCACCAATTTGGCTATCTCAACTCAAAACTAATGTTAAGGTGGGAGGGTCCCTTTAAGGCGGCAGTAAATCCACTGGTGTCTGGGGCGCCTACCGGCGTCGAAAGGCGACATTCATAATTCATTTCACTGGGAGCCTGGGAGGCATATTGGTGTTGATGTGTAACATTCATTCTCCTGGGGCGCCCGGCAATGAGGGGGCGGCATTTATTCCGTTCCCCTGGGATGGGCCCCTATCGGTGTGGAGGAAACGTCTCTTCACTGTTTGTGTTACTACAACCGTGTATATGGCAAGGGGCGCCCAGCGGGAAGGGGCGCTTCAATATCGTTTGCACCCCTATCCTAGAATACCTTCCGCCGCCACTGGCATGGAGGGGGCATTATCGGGCCCTTCTTTTTCGAAGATGACAGGGGAGAGACAAACACAACACCGTAACGCTAGAACGTTACGTCTCGGCGGCACTGGAACCATTCTGGCGAGAGCTGAAGCGGAGACGCGAGATCCGTCGCCATCAAGAATGGTTTCAACAGGACGGGGCGCCGCCTCATACCGCCAAACGGTCGCTGGAATTCCTGGAGGAGCACTTTCCTGACCGCCACATCAGCTTGAAAAGCGCGGTGGAATGGGCTCCCCACTCGCCCGACCTCAGCCCTCTGTAGACTTATTCTTGCGGGGCTTTCTCAAGGACTGTGTGTACACCGGCAATCCAGGGTCGACCCAGGAGTTGAAAGACGCCATCAGCGACGAGATCCGTCGCCTTCCTTCTCACATGGTTGACCAAGCGATCACCCACATCCAGACGGTCCATTTGCCGGCGGTGGCCCGACGCAAAGGGGCTCATATAGAGCAGTTGCTCTAGACGGCACGCGCTGGTCAGCAGAGTGCCGAGCACAGTTGAAAAGCATAGCAAATGTTTTGCCATTGCCTTGGCTCTCAAACAAGGGCAATTGTTCATGAGTGTGATGTTTTTAAGATAAAATATGGAGAAAAGTCTGGGTACACTTTTGACGTGGACACCCGGTATATCTCACATCCGACCATACTCGTAAACCGGTGCCAGCGACGCTGACCGCCAAATTGACAGAATGCGAAACTGAGACCACTCATGAGTGATATTTACTTCCTTTGATGGCGAAAGACTTTTTTTAAATGAGAAAATGAAACATACAGAAAGTTTTTGTAGGACTTTTGTTCGATCTGCAAAGGTGGGGCCAAAAGATAGTATGGCCCCACCTTTTAAAACCAAATGGGCCATGGCCACCGTGCCCCCCCCCCCTGGGACCGCCTATGCTGGGCCATGATCCATCCATATGCTCGTCTTACCCCAACGAGTATGATCGTAGCACTCCCATCATAGTTTGCGGGATTACTGGTTTGCGCTGAACAGGCTGCATAGAACAGCTGTTTGTACATACTTTGTGACTGTCACATGAATATGATGTGTATTGTGTAACTATATTAGACATATGAAGTAATGCATTATGTAGTCAATAACCTTGTACTGTATCATGCCAATATGTTTTGTCCCTATATGATGGAATGTTCAATAAATTGAATTGAAAAAGTGACAGGTTTTTGGATGGGAGAGGCTGACAAGGATGCCACAGAACTTGCGGGAAACAGCGGACGCATGGGCATCCCAAGTGAGGTGCTGGTCAAAAATGACCCCTAGATTTCGTGCCTGTTGGCAAGGGGCTGCAGTTGCAGTGGTGGGTGGGGTAGGTCTTACCGGTGGGGTAGGCGCGCCCGCTGGCCGACCACAGCCAGGTGGGGTTGCCGCGGGTGCGCAGCAGCAGACAGTCCAGGTGGACGATGGAGCCCGGGTAGGCCACCAGCCGACCGTCCGCCGACGGCTGCACCGAGCCCGTCGGCACGTGGTGCACGATTGTCGGGGCGCTGGCCTCTGCTCAGACACAGCCACAGCAGCGTCCGGTCAGCCACACCATCCGATCCGCCGCGGCCGGTCCCGGTAACTCAGTCGGTAGTGGTACAGCGTTGGACTCCGCGTGGTCCTCAGAACATTCCCGGTTATAACAGTCCGGGTTCGAAGCGCAACGGGCGCTTGAAGTTTATGGGCCTCCTGACAGGTATGGCTTCGGTTGGTGGCAGGCCGTAGCCAGGCGAAGTCAGTGAGGGTACCTGCCGTGCTCGGCTATGTGCGCACGTTAAACTTTACCCTCAACATTCTGCCACAGAGCCGGAATGGCGCGATGGGAGGGTAGAGGGCAGGGTCAACGCAACAAACTTCCCTTAGCGGGGGCCGGGGGCATCAAAGTCTAGTCGGAAAATCTGGCACTCCCCGGAGTGACGTAACGTCGGGGATGACCGACGGCACCTTGCCCTGAAAGATACGGCGGAACGGCTGTTTTTTTAATAATTAAAAATACTTTCGTGCGGTTATCCCGCGACCACCTAGGGGGGGTCGGATCCGACCCCCCCCCCCTCCGCTTTTCTTGAATAACTCATGAACCACTTACGCTATCAACTTGAAACTTGGCATTCCTTCTCCCCCATCAATTTGACGTCTCCTGTGTAATTAAAAAAAAAAAATCCAAAATGTTTTGAGATATATCGATTTTAGTGATGTAACTACATGGCATTTTCAGTCAAAAAGTGGTAAATGTTAAACAAAATCGCCAAAAATCGAGGTTTAAAGCAAATTGTAAATTAAGGACATGAATAGACGTAGCTCAACGAGTTCCTTAAGATGGCTATCTCAGATTTTCCATAAAATGTGTTTTTCACCCCTAAAAATTCAAAAAACTATGTTTTTGGAAAACAGCTTGTTGTCACCGACCGCTGCTGAGCGGTACCCGCCGAGTCGCCGGCCGGCCCGCGCGGCTGCCGAGCCGGCCGCTGCGGCCACGTGGCGCCCGAGGCGTGTCTGACCTGGTGAGGTCATGCGCGGGGAGCGCGCTGATTGGTCGCTGGTGTCCCGCGCCGCGGGGCACCAGCGAGCTGATCTCGGGCGGGTTCAGTCTGTGTATGCGTGTAACGCGGTCTGTTGGGGGTACGGAGTGAAGCTGGATTCTGGAGTGAATTGTGAGAAGTGACAATAAATATCCAGTGGTTGAACTCAGTGACTGTGAGAGAAGTGAGGGACGGAAGTGACGGAAGTGCGAGGAGTGACGGCAGGCCACTTACGCGTGTGACTGTGACCCGTCCTACTTCCGGGGACCTCGGCTTTTCTCCCCTCGTTGGGGTGTGTGAGGGGGCGGCCACCGGTGTTTCGCCAGCGAAAACCAAGGTCCGAGGGCTTAACTCTTTTCCCGCGTTTCGCCATCGAGACCGGGGAAAGGGGCCTCTTTCCATACAAGGGGCGCGGCCAGTCGGCTTCGGCCAACCTCGCCATCGAGGCGTCGAAGTATCGGTAGATCTGTCTGCTCACGGCGCCCTCGCCACTGAGGAGCCTCGATCAGGCAGCGACTGTCGCCTTCCTCACCAATCCTGTCCCAATTTCGACCTCCTAATCCCCCTCAGCCAGTCACAAAACACGAGTGTTGGCAGTGCATGTAAACCAGAGGACATCGTGGCGACAAGCTAATAAACTCCAAAATTTTGGGACTTTCCAAAAAACCGGAATATACGAGGTGTGGCTAAAAAGAAACCGGACTGCTCGTGCTGGCCATAAAGTAGGGGGCCCGAAGACTAGCGAGACACTTGACATTAATCTTGGTCATATTGTGGTGATGTGTGCCAAATGGCATCTCCATATCGCTATTATTCTTCTTTCCACAGATCTTTGTTTTATCGATGTTCGGCGGCCTTGTCACCGCCAGGCTTCTACAATGAGCTTCGAAAAAAGGAAGGAACATGACGTTCCTTGCCAGACTCAACAGAGACGCTGAATCTGTTCAAGGTTTTAATGTTATGTTAGGTCATATGTCACATGCAAGTGTTTGAATGGGTTACGAGGTTCAGCACTGGTCGTGAGGATGTCGGTGATGACCCCAAGGTCTGGAGGTCCATCAACGTTCGCGCGCATGTCGAAGTCGAGGGTGGAGACGACATTGATCGTCTTTTTCGATCATAGGGGATTCGTTCACCGTCAGTTCGTGCTGAAGGTGTACCGCAGTCGACTAGCATTTCTACAAGGAAGACCCGGGACGCCTCATTTCACGAGTCAGGCGCACCAAGTGGAATTTCTGGGAAGCCAAGATCTGGGTGCTCCATCACGACAACGCTCCCGTGCATTCTGCCATTAGCGTCAAACCGTTCTTTGCCAAAAAGCAGGTCGTGGTGCTCAAGCACCCTCTTATTTGTCAGACCTACCTCCCTGTGACTTTTGGCTGTTCTTTTAAATGAAAAAGGTTGTCAAGGGAACCCATTTTGAATCGGTCGAGGACATCCAGACCAGTGACCAGAGTCAGCGTCATCGATAAAACAAAGAGCTGTGGAAAGGAGAATAATAGTGATATCATATAATAGTGATATAGTTCAACTATTCTTTATTTTTCACCCCCAAATTGTAAAAATAGCTCCAACATGCATAGGGCATGGTGACGTCATAAGCATTTTTGTGAATTAGAGGCACTTCTGAACATCGCATGTGAACACATATGGCACCATTAGATTCCTGGGACAAAGCTCGCCTAGAAAACTGCATTTTTATGTCAGAAATAAAAAGTTGAAAAATTGACTTTTTTCTTAGCCCTCGTTTAGTTATTTTTTTTCTAAGCCGCCGCCCATGAATAGACGACCTCCGGTGCCCCCTATACACACACCAAAGATCACTCCTCCTCAACGCGGCGCGAACAATCATACCAAACTTCGAAAACATTTCCTACAAATGCAAGCTTAGTGCACTCCTATTCGGCCATGATCTTACTGAGAACCAGGGAATCAGCATAACACATCATCTCCATGCATACATTGTACATACTCAACGCTTCAACACGCACACACAGCAATAACACACACACACATACCCACACACACACACTACACGACATCGTACCCGATTGTTGCTGCCCGGGGCCCGGACACCTGTGACTATGTCCGGAGGGCTGCTCGGCGGGCTGCTGGCGGGGCCGTCGTGACCTGTTGCCAGGTGGTTTTATTTTGCACTTAATTTTCGTGTTAATCTTTCATTTTTTGTGCGTTTATTTGTGTTTATGTTTTGTAGGAAAGGCGCTTTGATTTAAGCATTTTGCTTTTGCGCCGATCCGTGATTATTTTCTCCGATGTTTCTTGTTCTTGGTTTCCACCTCTCGCTCTGGTTTAGGTATATATGCATAATACCTATGTTATTGCAAACACGCAGTGGCATTATGGGTCTCCTTCATGACATTTCGTCTCCACATGTCTATATCACATTGTATACAAATATACAGACAAAAACAGTGCGGGGATGAACTGTGACAGCATGAAAACGTATAAAGTTATTGTAATATAAAATGCGTGGTCAATTGTGTCAGTTCAGTAAGAATCAAAGAAAAATTGTTATCCCTATCGTTACGGCTCAGCTTCTTTCGAAGCTTGATTAGAATCCGGATCAGCGGTAAGGGATTACGGGTGTTTCCATGGGCAGCCTAAGCCCTTACGAGGCACTGATCCGGATCAGTGATGCCCATGAAAACCTTACCTTACCTACACTTATCGGGATTTAGAAAGGCACTATACGCCTGAAGGTCCCGATCTCGTCGAGTAGGTTCTGGATACACTAGGTTAAATCTTGGGTTGGCACTGAGTAATGGATGGTCTGCCAGTGCTGGTCGAGTCGGGATTTGAACTGGGTTAGGGTCTCAGCGAGGACCACATGACGGGGAAGGGCGTTCCAGTCATTGATGGCTCGTACGCAGAGTGCGTTCCTCCGCACACGAGACGCTGCTTGAGGTTTCGCCAGCTTCCAGCCGTGCCCTCGAGTTGTAGTCATTGAGCTCCTCGCCAAAAAGTCATCAGGGTCCAGGTCGACTCCCGCGTGTAGCAGCTGGTAGATCGTCAGCATGTCTCCGCGCCGTCTTCTGTAGTAGAGCGAAGGTAACTTGAGTTTCTGGAGACGCTGAGGATATGGCAGGTTCCTGATACCTGACACCAGCTTGGTTGCTCGTCTCTGGATGCGTTCTAACAGCCTCTGATCGTGTCTGTTGAACGGTCCCCATGAAACGTTGCCATACTCGAGGAGTGGACGTACAAGAGACTTGTAGAGCAGCGTCAGAGTCTGTTCATCAAGGTGAGCGAACGACCTCCGAATCACGGCCAGGACCTGGGTGGCCTTGGAAGCTGCAGATGCTGCCTGTTTTCTAAACTTGAGGGATGAGTCGATAAAGACACCCAGATCTTTCTCTTCACTGGCAGATTTGAGACGTTTACCTCTGATTGTGTAGTGGTGCTCCTGGTTATTTGGGCCGATGTGCAAACTCTTGCATTTTGCTTCGTTGAATGGCAGTTGCCATCTATCGGACCATTCAACTACTGAGTTGATATCCTGTTGGAGATCCTGAATCTGGGATGGCTTAGATACACTGCGATAAACTTTTGTATCATCAGCGAATATCTCGATTGATGAGGTCACCACATCTGGAATGTCGTTGATGTACACCAGGAATAACAGTGGGCCAAGGACAGAGCCCTGCGGCACCCCACTAGTGACCGGTGACCACTGGGAGTGGCAGCCCCCCACCAAAACCTGTTGTTTGCGTCCCGAAAGAAAGGCTGCAATCCATCTCAGCAGGTTTCCTTCAACACCATAGGCCCAGAGTTTTCTGAGCAGGCGCTGGTGAGGCACTGCGTCAAACGCCTTCCTGAAATCCAGGTAAATGGTGTCAAGGGGCTCACCATCCTCAATAAGTCGGCTCCACTCGTCAATCGTCTCCAGTAGCTGGGTGGAACAGGATCGCCTGGGGCGAAAGCCATGCTGGTGTCTGGATATTTGATTAGTCTCGTTCAGAAAGTTCATCATCT